TGCCTCGTGGGATTCAGGTGATGCTATATACAATTTAGAGCTTACTTATTGACGCAAATATTTAAAAAGCACCCACATTAAAATCAGCATTACAGATCTGACATAAATTGCTCTCTACCAATCAAAGGATCCGGCTGCCTGGCTGGTTTGTGAAATAGTTGCCTTTACTGAAGGAAAAGCTCAGGAAAGAAGGTCATGGTGATGTTTCTCACAGATATTGCTGCGTATGTCACTGAAAACTGACTATACACAGCCTAGATGCCATGCATAGTATAAAGTTGGGAAGTCTTTGTAACTGTGACATTGCTTCCTGCTGAGTCTAAATTCAATTTAGAATTTACTTTCAAGAGGCCATGTGTAAAAACTTAAATATTATTTTCCTCTAGTTTGCATCCTGTGACTGCCATGAGTTTGGGACTTGAGGTTTTTTTCCCTTTACTTTTACCTGATTAATCATGTCCAACGCAAGTTAGGTTGTGTCGATTTGCTGGATACCAGCTCTAGAATCTATAATATGAAACATCTGACTATGATTAATTACCTCATTTAAAATTTGGAATCAAAGCTAGCAGAAATACTCCTAAAACAAGACAAACACCACGTACCCATTGCACAGATGAGGAAAAGTGAGACCCAGAGAAAGGAAGGCACCCCTGCTTTTAGCTCATCAGTGGCACAGTGGGCACAAGAGCTGACAGCGGCTCTTCCCTAGTTGATCTCCATATCTACTCACTTGCTACATCCTAAAGAACGTGGACAGCAGTGATATCATCTCTTTGTATTAGCATCGGTTAATCTTTCTCGCATGACTTTTAGAAAAAAAAAGTACTTTGTTGCATGATCCAGAAAATGTATTTAATATACACAAAAACATTGCATGAAAGAAGCCACCCTGTACGAGATGTTTTTAATTCTAGTTGAGTCCATTTCAATTAATGCTGGACACAAGGCACTGAATTAATCTGCTGGGTCAAGAACTGCTAATAGATCCAACACCACGGTGACACTGTCTGAGAACAGAGATCCTTTTGAAATCAGCCCACGGAGTGGATATAAACAGTGTAAACCAGAAGTAGCTGCCGCAGCGCCATGCTTGGGAGTGAACTTCATAAATGAGTGGCGGGGCGGAGGGAAAGGGCAAAGGGAGGAGAGAGCAATGCCTTTTGGAGCTAACGATCTACGCAAGGTGCCTTCTGCTCCTTTGCATTTAGATTATAAAGTCTCCCAAAGTCACTCCAATGAGAAATCCCAAAACTAGTGCCTTGAACAAAAGCCGTACTGTGCGGGAAGTCTACACTTAAGTTCATTAGCAGGGCATCACATCGCTTCCTCAATTTCCTCAAAAGTCATTTCAAATCACAGCAGGGACAGAAGCAGTTCATTCGCAGCCCAGTATTGAATTTTTATGTGACAAGATGCTGGGAAGAACAAAAGTAATACAAACACGTAGATAAACATCTGCGGGGCGCCTCAAGGTCTGATAAACATTCACTCCACAGGTGCTTTTATTCTGATCTAGAAGTTTCTGCTGAAAGTCTTAAACTCAATCTGTTCCCCTTTTACTTTGCTGTCTTTCCTGAGTCGGCAGCTTTAGCTGTCTCTGTGCCTTTATGATTTTTTTTAATGTCCACACTCCTTGGTGGCTTCTTGTTTTGTTTTTAACACAGGGTCATATTGCTGTGCAGCCCAGTCTAGGCTCAGGCTTGTGACCCCCACCTCAGTCTTCCAAGTTCTGGGCTTACTGCATAAGTCACTATTTCAATACTGTTCTACTTTTTAAACCTGTCACTACATTTTTTTCTACTCTTTATTTGGAATTTCTTGTTTTAAGTTCTGAAAACTTTATCCCAGCATTCATGTTCTTCCTCTTCTTCCTCCTTCTCTTTTTCTTCTCTTTCTTCTTCATCATTTTCTTAACATTATTTTTGGGAAAGTGTCTCACTATGTAGCTCTGGCTGTTCTAGAACTCACTCTGTAAACCAGGCTAGCCTGGGACTCAGAGATCTGATCCACCTGCCTTTCCTGCTGAGTGGGATTAAAGATATCTGCCACCACATCTGGCCTTTATCCCGGCATTCTTAGCGGTCCCTAACAAATAAAACAGCCATCCACCTCAAGCCACACACCTTATTCAACAAGGCATCCTACTGAACTCACTCTGGAAGGCTCTAGAGAACAACTCTTCTCCTTCAACACCTCCTTGCCCCGCTGTCAGCCAAAAGCTGTTGAGGGCGTCCCTGGATTGGAGACCTGATGAAGACTCAGTAGGTTGGTGAGAAAAACAGGTACCTGGCCCTTGATGCCATAAACTGAGCGGCAGAATCAGACAGAATAAGACTCCACACATTTTAAATATGTTATATTTGTATTTATCTAGGTTGAGCTGAGGTCATCTTTGTCAAATTCAGGCATCTTCGCGTCGATCGACACATTCGCCCACATCGCTGGAGGACCCACGGAGCTCTTTTGAGAAGACTCCTACTCCGAGCACTCTTGACATTTAAACTTTTCCAATTTAAGAAAATGAGATGAAAATTAACTTCTTGGAAATCAGATCTGAAATTTTAAAATAATATTTTTTACAAATGTTGGGAGGAAGGGTAGGGAATAATTCAATGCAGAACTTGACAAGCATGTGTGAGGTCCTTGGTTCTGTCTTCAGTGCCACCAAATTTTTTTTAAGATGGCAGCGTCATCAGGGCATTAGAGCCGTGATATTCTGCTGCAACTTTGTGTTTCAGCACCCTGAAGCCACACATCATCCATAGCCATTAGATTCGCAAGGAACCAGACTTTGTGGGGAGCAAGAAAGAGGCAGCAACATTTTTTTATATATATATATAAATTTCCCAAGATGAGTTCATGAGGAGTTAAATTCGAGATCTTCTGTGCAGATGGGTTGTTAATGAATTATCTCATTGCCTCCCCACAGCACTCCTATTAAGCATCTATTAACAGCCTATGAGGAGTAAGTAGGTCTCAGCAAGGTCATCCAGGTAAACAGAACAGAACCGGCTTTGTGAGTGTGGAGGAAGGCTCACAGAAACAGCAAGGAACAAGAATGGTCCACAAAGAAAGCAGCCCTTCTCTCCAGGAAAGTGTTAGGGAAAACAGACAAGCTGAGTATTCTGTCTCTCAAAAGCACTTCCTCAAGGGAGGCCCTTGGAGAGCTAATCGTAGTTTACCAGCAGAGCACAGTGCAGATGCCACTGGCATCATTTTTCAACACTCAATAGACATTTATCAAGCCGCATCCCTAAACCAAGCACTCGCTGATAAGCAAGTGAAAGAGACCAGGTCCCACTTGCCGCTTTCCAAGAGGCAGTGGGCTTGGCTTTGGGTTCAGTGCTGGAGAACCAGTGGAGGGCTGGTGAGAACAAGTGGGGGGGCTGGTGAGAAGCTGTCAGGTGGGGTAGAAATTCAGCTAGTATTGAAACCAGGTGAGGCCAGTAACCCTGAGTTGAAAGACAACTTTCACTGCTAAGTTATTGATATGATGCATGCAGCTAAGAGGCTTACATGAAACCTGACTGAAACAACATTTGAAGAAGAGGCAAAGATTCTTTGCTAACCTCAAACTGGGAATAATTCTGTATAATCAACAAATGGTTAATTCCAAGATGCTTGCCATGAAGTGCAAAGACCAAACCCCTGAAATTCCCTGTGCAAGAACAGATATCTAAATGGTTCGCTGGTCCCACATGAAATATGCTTAGAAGCCTTCTTGCAGACTCTCCTGATTGTTTTTCTTTCTAAACATGATTTTTCACATTTTCTAGTCAACCATTTTAACCCATTCAGCTACCCCCAGTGACTGGTATTTGCCCCATGCTAGACTTTGTTGGCATCAACCTACGGCTGCAAGATGTCTGTGAGGAAAAACTATTGTGGCTGACTTTTTTCTCTGCACCTCCAAAGTAACAGATCATTCTGAACGTTAACGAAACTATTCTGACTTTTAGATGCAAAGGCAACAGTGGTGGAAAGACACTAAAAAAAGAAAATTGCTGGTGTAAGCTCCTCACGGCATCATCCCTTCTCTTGCTGCCTTGCTAATACACTGTCTCTGCCAGACATAAAGTACGTAATGTGTTAAATATTAAATCCAGTAACAACGAGCTTTCAGTTTTGATGACAAGTCAATACACTATACCAACCTAGATATGCTAGAGAACACATTTTCTTCATCCAGCGTTTGAGTATTCCCTTCAGAAAATATGCTGCAAAGACAAACCAATGACATCCCACTAGACATATCCCAACGTGTCCCCCATACGAATGTGCAGAATTAACTTTTGCCGTTACGAATGTGATTGTTCTGATTGCACAGCGTTTTAGCTTTATATCCTATCTGTTTACTAGGATGAATCTGAATTATTATAAATACAAGTGAAGAAATACATGTTTACTAATGCTTCCGAGGTCAGTGATATGTTGCAAGTGGTCTCAAAAATATCTTGGGCATTTCAAGTTAACCAACAGAGGTTAAGTATACCTTATTCAACGTACTTGAGATAAGAGTGTTCCAATTTTAAAACTTTGAAACATTGGTGTATATGTACTCATCTTGTTAATGTGACCCAGGTTTAAGCACAAAATTCATATACACCTCATATGCATAGTCTGAAACTTTTACAATATTTTTAGTGACCAAGGCATTGATCAGAATAGAATTTTCCACTCAGAATTTACAGTATTTTCAAATTTTCCATTATAGATGCTCAATCTGTAACTTCTTTGGCATTACCTATATCTACTTTTTATCTTCAGACAAAAGTAAAATAACAAAGCAATAAGCAAATGCCTGCATTATACCGCCCATCTGCTCACCCATTGCTTCCTTCTTGTAAGGAAAGTTCAAGTGAGCCGAGCACACTGACTGTTGGGCTTCACAACATCTACAACACAGAAACTTTTAACTGGGCCAACTAATTGATATCTTGACACAGATAAAGAATCAAAGTAGCAGCTGGTACAAGCACAGGTTCCGTGCTTCCTACCTTGGGAGCTTTGGCATGTTTCCCACACCTGGCATCCTTGACAAGGCTGAGGTCTAACAGCTCCGTCTCCTGGAAGGCAAAATGGGAAACTTTTAAGCCACCACGCATATTGTTTCTCTTTGTTTGATGCCATTGAAATCACTTCAAAGGATACTATCATCTGGAGATTTGTCTGAGAATGCATCTGCAATAGGCCACCCCTCTATATTATGTCTAATTGAATCAGAAAGGAAAGATCATCAACTGCTATCTGCTCAATTTAATACATATTCCAATATATTTGCTAAAACATCTTACTAAACAAACGAAGTACATAGTTTGCATCCTTACATCTGCATCCACTATGCCAGCTTTCTCGACCTTTCTAATACTGTGACTCTTTAACATAGTTCCACATGTTACGGTGCCTTCCAACCAAAAACTTACTTTGTTGCTTACTTCATAACTGCAATTTTGCAATGGTTAAGAATCATAATGTAAATATCTGATATGCAAGCTATCTGTGATCCCTATGGGGGTTACAGCCCACAGGTTGAGAACTGCCACTCTAAGCCATTCCTAAATCAAGAGAAACCCAGTCTCTTTGTTCTGCTGTTGAAAAGTAATCCTGGAGTCGCTGAATGTAGTTGGAGTGTGGGAGACATCAGGGAGATAAGATTAGAGAGGCCAGAAGGAGGAGCTGCCCCCATCAGCGCACTCACCCACCGAAAGCATCTCGACAATATATGGATACACACACAACCCAAATTCCGTTCCCAGCCTCTTGACCACAAATCTCACACCACTATCATTTTCCATATTCATTAACAAACTTATTCATTATTCAAACAACTATCATATGTAAGTTACTTCGGGACACAAGAAACATGCATGCATGATTGCTTTTCTAGAGCGCCATCAAGCAGGGGAAAGAACATAAAGGAAAGCATATGTGTAAGACAAGGAAGAGTATGTTAATGCCAGTTTTAAAGTTAACTGCTGTGAGAAGTGGGGAAAGAGAATTTTTTCCCCTAAGTACACATGGAGGAATCATTTACCTTGAGGAAGTGGAAAATAGGTTTCTCACAGTTGGAGAGTGCAGGGGGAGAAATATTTCAGATAAGAATGGCCCAGGGGGTTTGAAATGCATCTAAGATATTCATTGTCTTCAGATACTTAGAGACACAGCCCATGCACATCAAAAGAAGTAGGAGGGCAGAAGATAAAAAAAAAAGCCAGGAGCAATGAATAGCAAAGATGTGTGCTTGGTGGCAGTGGAACAAGAGATCTGCATAGGTGACTTCAGTGGCCCATAGGATTAAGTGTTGGCTATGTGAAGATAAGCCATAGAAGACAACACCAGAGGGCTGGAAACCTTGAGAGTCTACTGATCGATAGTGCTCATAATGTTTGTAGCATTTATGCACCAGCCAAAGAGCATAGAATTATAAATAATACTTCCTTACAGGGGCTGCAAGTATCAAACAAATGTCTCCTGGTCAAGACTCAACAGGATGCAAGCATCTTGCCCCGTCCTCCCAGAAAAGGCACTGTACCATGATTCATCTGACAACACACTCTCTAGATAATTTGTATAAGATACTCAAGAATACTAATAATCTCAAGGAAATTTTTCTGACAGATACTTTCCTATTCCAAATGTCTGGTACAAAACAGTTTGATCACCTTCTTACAGAATCTATTTGGATATTGAATCTCTCTACTGCACACATATATCAGGTTGAAGCGAACACTCTGCTTTGGCCACCTCTCTGAGAGATGGAATGAAGATTGGATAGAAGAGTTTCTTCTCACGCTCATTCCATTTTGGAAGTTTCCTATCCCCATCTTGGTAGATTTCTTGACCTATTCTTCACAGGGACTGACCTGTGAAAATCTTCCCATACTACATAGAGTGACGCGTGAAACCAGGCAAAAGGAACTTGCAGGACACGGTAACATAGATTTTTCTCCAAAGTCCCCTTCAATGTGTGTACAAAGATTTCACAGCATTGAAAGTACATCATGAGTGCCAGAAAAGTGTGCTATCAACCTGACATTCAAGGTTCAGCTTAGACACCTGCATCATGGATCTGTCTGAGAAATAATACACAACCAAATTAGACAGAGGTGAGCCCAAGCCCAGTTTATTCACTTCCGCAGTAACACTGCAGAAGAGTGAGCACTGGGCTTCCAATAGAGCCTGGGGGAGTTAAACTTCAGTACACAAACAGTGTGGAGATCTGAGAGATAGGCTACAGAGCGAAGGTTTGTCATAGGAGAATGAGACATAAGGAGAGAGAGAAAGCAGCAGCAGTGCTTGGGGGTCTGAGTTCCTCCCTGGGACTCAAACCTCCAGCACACCGCTTTCATGTTTGAGAGTTGTTGACTGGGGAAATCTGTCCAAGAGCAAATGCCACGGATCTATTCATCTGAACACTCTTTATTGAATGCCTGCAGAGCATTGACTATTAGCGAGGATTAAATCACAAAATGCAAAAGTAGATTGTCCATTCTGAAACACTCACAAATAAGCCAATCACTTTCCTTTAAAGGAGATACTTCAGAACACCTGCAGATACTGGCTATGGAAGGCTAATTCACAAGACTGAGGTGGAATTTCTGGCTGTATAGAGAGGAGCAACAAGCCAGAGGGAATGCATGCGAGCAGGAATGATGGAGCTCAAAACAGTCACGCAACAGATATGGAGAGGCACATATATGCCAGCTCATGGTTGAATGACGGTCCCACACAGGTCGATTAAAAACCTTCTACATACATTTTATACTTATCAAATTTGATAGTAACTTTTTCTATTCAAAGGTTTTCATCTCAGTTGGTCAAATGGACTGAAACATTGCTGGTTGGTTTACACACAAAGAACCCAAACTGAGTTCACAAAGAACTTAGTAAGCACCATTACTTTTCTACTGATGATAATGAATATTGTTCTTTACTGCCAGCTCTGGAGGAAGCCGTCATTACCCAAGTCGTGGAGGGAGAGTTAATGTCAGCTACCCTAGGGATTCATTCTGACACCCCAGGGCTAAGAAGCCTCTACTGGTGTGTAAAATTGTGTGTTCAGGAAAAGCATCTAGGGTGCCATGGGGTGGGTAATGTGGCATGGGAAGGACCCAGGTGGAAGTGCTGTTCAGAGGCCCTCTCAGCTGGAAAGGCATGATTAAAATAGCATACCCCACTTCCATTAGCATAAAAGCCATTCCTCTGGGCTTTCATTGTCTCCTTTTCTCTCCTCCATGATGAAGAAAGGGTGGAACCATATGTAAGGAACCACGGAAATGTTGCTTCTGTCATTAAAACATTTTCTAGGTTAATTTTCCTGTGTTCATAGTTTGAACAACACAATCCATTATAAAGCACTGACGTGGACCTTTCTTAGCTCACTGGAGAGGTAGTGCCTTCTAGCTTTGCGAACTTGCTGGATAACTTGCTGGATAGAAACCGTATCACCTATTAAATAGTGGCAATGCCTCAAATGCCGGTGGCTCTCAGAAGGGAGCCTTAATCCAAGTAATTTGAAAGGCTTCAAGACATAAAGCTTGAGAATCTGATCTCTAATAACTTCTAACTGGTGCTGATGCTGAAAAGGACAGACACTTTGAGATGTGCTAATAAACCCACACTCAGAGATGCTACTGTTACGTGATATTTGTTTAACTATGCAAAGCTGTGCTACATTTGTTTATGTTGTGGAACATTTGTTTAACTGTGCAAAGATGTGCTGCCCTTGTTTAATTATTTAAAGATGTGTTGCCGTTTTACCATGCCTGCCTAAGGCACCTACTTGATAGGTCTAATACAAAGTTGAATGGCCAATAGTGAGGGAGGAGATATAGGTGGAATTTCTGGGCAGGAAGAATTTTATCTCCAGGAAGAATTTTGTCTCCAGGAAGAAAGAAAAAGAGATGCCAGGGAGATGCCAGGAGCCAGCCAGATAGACACAGAGGAAACAGGAAAGTAGGAGATATAGAATGAAAGAAAGGTAAAAAGGCTCGAGGCAAAACATAGATGAATAGACACAGGCTAAATTAAGTTAAAATTTGAGTTAAGATGGTGAGGCAAACATAAGCTAAGCCCAAGCATTCATATTTAATAATAAGTCTCTGTGTCTTTATTTGGGAGCTAGTTGGTGGCCTAGAGAAAATGCCAACTACAAGCTAATGTAAGGCTTCTGGGTGAGCATGATGGAGCACTACATAATAATTATAAATTACTTGAAGAATCTCTGACTTACTCTTTCACAGGGAACTGTCAATAATACCTATTGAATATAAAATTGTAGCTAATAGTGAGTAATCTAGGCTTAGATTTGATGTAACTGAGAGAAAACACCGTAAACTTCTAGTTTTGAAAATTCTTTTACCATAAATTATATCCTTCACTAGTTCAGAAATTTAAACATTCATTAAAAACATTGTCATCACTGAAATAGATTTTTTTTTTTTAAGTTCTAAGGCCATCCGACTTGCCTAGGTATATAAAAGGAGAGCGCAGCAACAGACATCTGTTTTAGGCCCACAATGACATCTATAAAGATTGAACCACATCCCTAAGACCCCCAGCAAATGCACTAAAATTTTGTGTTTTCCCCCTTTATACATATGGATAAAAGTGAATCAGCAGCAATCAAATGTTTGGGGAAATATTGATGCAGATTTTTGTTTTGAATGCATGATGCGAAAAGTAATACCTGCCAGCTAAGGGAAGACTGGATGGTCTCAGATGTTTATATCCAGCAGAAAGATTTCAGCCCATCAGCCACAAACCTACTGTGAGGGAGATGAGCCATGAAATCCACTGCAAATTCAGGAAAGGCTACAATTTAAAATGCAACTCTTTGCAGAATACCAATGTCTATGCATTGTTGCTAAATTCCATTAGTCACCCAATATAATAGCATGCTTCAAGTTCACACAATCCATAATCAGAACAGCAATTACAGCCATAAACATTTCACAGAGAAGATACTAATGGTTGGGTGTGTAGTGTGATTATGTGTACCTCCACATGGGGTATATTCATTAAGCTGTTCAATCTTGATTTACCAAAACTAGCATGAGTTAATACA